AGAAGGGCCTTGTAGTCTGGACGAGATGAAAAATGGGAAGTCGGGAAACTTCCGACTAACTGGCTTTGGGCGGGAGGTACCAGGCGTTGAGGGGGGAGCTTGTTGACAAATGTTTTTGTGGGTGTTTGCCTTCAGAGAAGGGAAAGGGGGGTCGTGGGGACCAAGGGCACATTTTATTTTTCTTCTGTGGGGTGGTGGAAAGAATATGTCGTGGTGTGTGACATTCCTCTGGGAGAATGGGCATTGTCACACCTTCGCGGTCAAATAAGGTGTGAATGTGGATGGATTTAGCATCAGACTTTATAGCCATCTTCTTGATGAGATTCTTGTGGGAGAGGGGACACGTTGCTTTTGCGCCATGTAATCACAGAAGTTACTGCTCTCGGGTTTATGATCACAATGCCCAAGTTTCATAAATTGTTTCTTAATCTGTACAGAGTGATTGTAGAGAAATTTAGGGGTGGACTCAAGCGTAGCTGAGTGTTACTGAGAGAAATTATCAGAATTAACATTTTGTATCTCTCTCTCTTTTTTTTTGGTGTCTGCCTGTGTATGTGCAGTTTTTTACCATCTCCAACCCAGCTGTCTCAAGACCAGCTGGAACTCGAAGAAAGAGCAAGAGCTCAAAGATCTAGGCAGACTGCTCTGGTCTCATCACGACGGGAACCTCCCCCATACGGTTACCGGAAAGGATGGATACCACGAGTCCTAGAGGTAGATAATGAAATTCACCGTGCAGTAGTCTGCTAGTGGGGAAGAAAAAAGAAGCATGTTTTGTGGAGAAGAAATAAACTCTGAGCATCTTGAGTGTAGCACAGAACTGTGCAAAGCCTTACCACATGCAAAATTTCTGTCCAGATTGATGGGTGTATTCTGGGGTTGGGGCAAGTTGTCTTATTCACCAGACTGTTTGACACGTTTAATGGTAAACAGGATGTCATAAGGATTTTTTCCCTTCAGAGATTGTTATATTGTAATGTGGAACTAGGACTATGGTCCTGTCAGCTTATGGTCTGTGAAGGCAAGGATCCTCAGAGAAAGGCATTTGTATCGTTACCCATTGTTGTTTGTTAAATACATGTTCCAGATTATAGCTGGAATAAGTGAACGTTTGTATATCAGAGGACAGAATGGTCTTGTGTGTTCTGTACACAGCAAAACATAGCTGCTGGGGGAGGAGACAATTGTTAGAGTTGGAAGGAAACTTAAAAATTTTTCAGATGTTCGTTGTTTAAGTATGTTACTGGCAAAAGGGTTTTGGACAAAGTTTTATTTGTCCATCATCCTTGCCAGTTTAATGTAATTTCAACTGGAACCGTTGAAAGGCAGAGGGGGAAATGCAGGTGTATAGCTCTGATTACAAAACCGTTTTCGTACAGTTTCTCACCGTGAGAAAACCTTGCAGGTTTTGAAATGGTACTTTTGGGACCTGCTCTGATGAGTCAGAAGCCAGCGCTCTTGGCAGGAGGCACACTGTTGAGGTTTTGACACAGCCTTTCCTGTGTGGTCCTGCTTTGTCCCCAGATGCCATCCTTTCATGAGCTACCTTACTCTCATTTATGTCTGAGCCCCATTTTTGTTAAGGTGAATGCACCACTGCACCATGGTGATCCAGTAGTGCTAGATAAGGTGAATTCAAACAGTAGTGCCAGTGGTTATCTAACATAAAACACTTTTATGTAGGGTCAGTATTCAGTAAAGCATGTGATGTTAAAAAATTATACCTTCATTATACCCAGTGTAGGGTTCCTTCCCTAAACTGTTGATTACTCAGGTTAGTATTTTAAGTGCTTATTCTTTCTAAATGTTAGCAAACGAACTTCTTAAGAAATAGGGGTTGAAGATTTTTGGAGTTTCCAGCATTCATGCACCACAAAGTGATGCATGTCTCAGAAAGGCTGTTAAGGGCTCCTTTCTGTCTCACAAAGAAATGTAAATTCTTCAAGAGCAATAAATGTTTCCACCACATAACTTTTGTCCAGTGGTCCTGGAATACCATCATTGATAAAAACAAAATCTGTTAGTAATAGGTCAAGATTTACGCAAGAAATGTTGAGGAATGACTTGTTCTTTAACACTGATTCAGCACCTGACTATTGAATGTGGGACATCCTGTGGAAGACTTAAATAAGCTGTATTTCAGTGAGTGCTTCAGGATGGCTTAAGCATGTCCTTCTCTGAAAGGTTCTGCTCATTTCTTCCAGCCTCAGTCCATGCTCTCTGTTGCAGTGGTGTTGACTATTTGGTCACTTGGTGAATACAAAGGGAGATTGGTCTCCCCGAGACGCTGATTCTTCTTTGATCTGGTTTGTTATCAGACTCCCCATAAGCAGTGCCACTACGACAGAAGGAGGGCGAGATGCTCGTGCTGCTGGAAGCAAAAGCTTCCTCTGAGGAATTGCCTTTCAGACTGTAGCCTGAAGTGGTTTTCTGAGTAGTACCAATTCCGTTTGCATCCTCAGTGCTGTTGAGTGAGGTTGGTCTGCTTTAAGAGGTCTTTTGGTTGTCTGTTCATTAAATGCTGTTACAGCAACACATTGAACGAGAGACGAAGTAAACTTTAAGAATATTGGGCTGTTGGGTGCTGGCCCTGTTTTCAGCGTATTGACGTGTCGAATTAAGGAAATGTGATGGCTTGGCAGTTGTACCATTGTAAAGCTATAAGCTGCAGGCTTTGAAAGGAATGGAAAGCATTTTTAACTTCTTCATTAAGGTGTGAAAAGCAGCAAATAACCAGTAGAAATTTTTATTTTAAAATTGCTGCTCTTTTAATTTTACTGTTTCCACAGTTGCTTTATTGCAGAAGGTAAATTTTGACTTTCTAATTAATAACTCATGTGTGAATTAAATACTTAGTCACGTTTTGTCTGTAGCATAGTAGCCCCTGCACATTCTAGGCAGTGATACAGGCTCTTGCTCTGTGCAGGGAATAATAGCTGCAAGATGCCTATGCACTTTGAGTGTCTTTCTGTGGTTTATTTTGTTAACTCAGTCCCCTCTTTCATTCCATTTCCCGCCCATGTAATTGTTATGCCATAGTTTTGTCTTTCAGTCGTTCACTACTTTTTCTTTTGTGTAGGATTTTGGAGATGGGGGTGCTTTCCCAGAAATTCATGTGGCCCAATATCCATTGGATATGGGCCGAAAGAAGAAAATGTCCAATGCTTTGGCTGTTCAGGTGGATGCAGAAGGAAAAATAAAATACGATGCTATTGCTCGACAAGGACAGTCAAAGGACAAGGTAATACATCTTTAAATATGTAGACTGGCATGTATACCAGGAAAAGTTGTATTTACACATTGCATATACTTAAACTCCTTGGCTTGACATTAGCAGAATGGATTGTGTCCTGGTTTCTTAAAGTTTCTTAAAGAACCGAAATTGTGTCTGGAAGGCACAAGTGTTTTGACTGGATGACAGTGTGATCTTCTATGTTAGGTAATTAAAAAGTAAGGCAAAAAAAAGGTAAGTGTGTCTACACAAAACTTGCTTTTTTGTGTAGCAGCTTTGGTTAGACAGCTTCCCAGTGAAGGCAAGAAACTGAAAACAGGCCTGATCACAGGCAGCCTCATTTCAGTGTGTACAGAAAAGCAGGGGGAAGACAGAAGACACAGGTCAGCTTTCAGAATACTTCAGCTTCTGTACTACGCCTCGTGTCTTACTGATTTAACATTTGAGGCTTCTGCCTGTTTCAGTATTGTTAGGGGCTCTTTTTGGGTTGGGGGTGTGTGTTTGGTTTTTGGTGTGGTTTTTTTTTTTTTTAATTGCAGCAGAAAGTATTGCCGTTGGTTATATTCCAAAGTTTTTGAGTTCAGTGATGGCAAGATTCTCATTGAGTTTATTGGGAACCAACTTCAATTTCCTGTATACAGTAGCCTTTCTAAAAACAGAGAGATGACACTTCATCTCAGAGTCTTAACTAGTATTGAGAAGATCACTGACTTGAGTCTCCTTAGTCCACCCTGAGGAGTATCTGTGTCTGTCTCTTCAACTGTAACGTGGTGGACTACATTAAAACTTGATTTGTCTTAAGCAGGTGTTGGGGGCTGGAAAACTGCTGAGGCATGACCAAAGGTTTGACCAGCTTCTTGTTACAGCAAGCATCTGTAACCCAAAGGAGGTCTAAAGAGAGGGTTAACTACAGAGGGTGTTTTAGTTGATAGGTTTGAATAACTGTTTTCAAAGTTATTTGACTTCTCCTGCCTTAATTTAGGATGCCTTGAAAAGCTAGTGGGTGTGTAATTTGCCCCATGTTTTACTGCACATGAGGAAGGGGAAAAACCTGTTCACAGAAAAACAAAAGGTGAACTTAACCGCAAACGAAAAATAGGCTGAGAATATCAGGGGAAATACTTCTGCTTTAACAGATCAAGTTTTGTAGTTGTTACAAATAGATCCTACAGTTGCCAAAGTGGCAGAAAATTAGTGACAATAGGATTTTGTATTTCATTAATACTTGGTTGAGTGTCAGAAAAGTGTCACATCTTGCACATCCTTATCCTGTGCATCTTAAGTTACTGCAGTACCTTTGAAAAAAATGTGTTCAAATCAGTGTAACTCCATGCTAAACAGAAAAACCAGCAGTGGCAATGTTTTTATGGAAGGGACTTTCATCGGGCTTCAGTCAGACTTTACGTAGTGCCTTGAACTATTTGTGAAGAAGAAGGTGCTAAAATATGAATTACACTTGCAGAATTTTGTGATATTAAATATTTGGCACTTGATACTGAATAGGAAAAAAGGTATAAAAATTAATTTGGAGCAGAAAAGTAGACAAGATGTAATAATTGTACTAAATTTGAGGAAGATATAGGGCAAATGAAAAGTGGAAAAAAAAATTATTACAGTTAAACCCTAATTTTTACCACTTGTCAAATAGATCTTTACCTACCTGTAAGATCAGATTTAACTTTCACACAATAGAATTGTTGAGATTGGGATCTAAGTCTATTTGAAAAAGAACTAGAAATTATAGTAGGTCTTAGGCAAAAATGACTGATCTTGCACTGTGCCTTATTTGGTTAAGAGTTAGGAAGATACTTAGAATAGGTAAAGTTAAATTTAGGCTGTTAACATTTGTGGTGTTTGAATCATGAAGATGTATCCCAGCATTCGTTAACTTTCCGTACAGCATCTATAAAGAAGCAGTAATATTTTCATTTTGTAGGTGTACTTACCAGGAGGGAGGAGTTGAGTGGCTTTTCCAAAACTGGGCTCTCTTCAGCTGTAGAACTGAAATTAGGGTTTCCTAAGCCCTAAGTTCTGCCTTCCGGATCAGTTTGATTCTGATTTCATCCCACTGGATGTAAATGCTGAGACTAAAGATTAAGCATTGTGATTCAAGGGGAAGTAAAACTGGAAGAAAATTAGATACTTAAAACAATTTCACTGGAAGTGGCAGAACTACTTCATCTGTTTTGCAGGACAGAGAAAGAATTGGCAGAGATGTAGGGAGTAGTTCTTCAGTGATCTGTGTGGAGTTCAGTAATATGGAATATTTTCTGGAAGACAGATAGTACAGCGTCAGTAGGATTACATACAGAAGTTTCATTATCCTGAGAGCTGCAGTCGTCATTCAAATATTTCTCTCAACTTTAATACTTAGAGCTAAGAGAAACAGATACTCAGTGGCCTGCCGGAAATGAGATGGAGTTTCTGATCCTGTTCTATGATCTACTTGTTCGGTCTGAGCTAAGAAGCAAATTTTGCTTTTGCTGCAGCCTATGGATTTTTTGAAGTTGAATTTACTGTTCTGCCTTCTTGTAGAGGCAGCAGTTTTGTCACCCAGACCCTACAACTGGATGGCTTGTCAGCAGTTTGTACTACTGCAGTGGTTCATCTCTCTTGCACCTGTTCCCTCACACATTTAACAAAGAGTTGCTTCAGAGAGTTTTCCTTGAAAAACGCTGACATAAATGAGATAGGCTGACAAGCCTCCTCTTTGAGGCTGGCATAAACACCGCTAAACGTGAAATGCTGGATAAAGCTGATGAGCTTGGATGCATGACCTTTTGGATCTGAGGATGGGGTTCCATCTGGTTGTCCAGATGAAGGATTTTCAGCATTTGCCGTGTGGTAGCTCTTGTGCTGCTATAGATTCTTCCAGTCTACATAGTTTCTCCAGGAAAGCAGGGCTCCATCGCACGTAATGGTTACTTGTGAAGACAAATGCCGTAACTCTGAAGGTTCCTCCTTCCTTTCTTTATTTTTCCCCCCGCTTTCTATGCTGAGCATGATGCCATATGGTATGGAATGTCCCTTGGGTCAGTGGGGGTCAGCTGTCCCCCACTGTGTCCCCTCCCAGCTTCTTGTGCACCCCCAGCCCACTCATGGGTGGCATGGTGTAAGGGGCAGAAAAGACCCTGACTCTGTGTAAGCACTGCTCAGCAGTAACGAAAACATCCCTGTGTTATCAGTGCTGTTTCCAGCACAATGGCTACTGGGAAGAAAATGAACTCTACCCCAGCCCAAACCAGCACAACATGACTAAAAGCCAGGCTAAAATAATGCATCAGTAATTGATATATTCTGGTGAGACTGAAGCTCTGTCCCCTTATTAGGAAAACAGATGCATAGTTGCTTCCTGTCTTCTTATTAAGACAGAGAGAGAATGAAGTCAAGGAATGGAACTATTAGGTCCATTACTTTTTTTTCTGGCAAGGGTGATTTTTCTGTGTAGGAGTTGCTTTTTTTCTTAGTGGCTCAGGGCAGTAGCTTAGATGTTAGAAGAGGAAGGAAAAAAAAAACCCCACAAATCTTACCTACATTTTCTTCTCAAGACTGTGAATTCAGTTGAAACGTTTACGAGAGAGTAGTTCCATTGTTGAAGGAACTGTTGTCACAGTGATGGAACAAGACAAGAGAACGTGAATATAACCAAAATAATCAAAATTATTCATCACTTCTGATGCATTTACCATGGTGGTAGAGCTTGGCTTGAGAGACCATTGCAGATGTTTTTTCTCTGTGTGTGCCAGGTTTCCAACCAGGTAATTGTAATGACTTCTGAGATGTTATGTCATTTGTATGGAGAAACTATTCTTTGTTTGACAAGTAAGGAATTAATTCTGCAGTGCTTCATAGTAGCTTCTCAATTTACACATGGGATTGATGAGCACTGTACAGGGCTGCTCTAGATATATAGAAAAAAATAGGTTGAGGGGTAGGATTTGTGTATTGCAAATCAGGAGATTTCTTTGTCTATCAGGTGTCCTGTGAAACTCTGAATGTGTTCGATGTCTAAATCAGAATGGTTTGGGTTGGAAGGGACCTTAAAGCCCATCTAGTTCCAACCCCCCTGCCATGGGCAGGGCCACCTTCCACTAGACCAGGTTGCTCAAAGCCTCATCCAGCCTGGCCTTGAACACTTCCCGGGATGGGGCATCCACAGCTGCTCTGGGCAACCTGTGCCAGTGCCTCCCCACCCTCTCTGTGAAGAGCTTCTTCCTCATATCCAATCTAAACCTCCCCACTTTCAATTTAAACCCATTCCCCCTTGTCCTGTCACTACAGGCCCTTGTAAAAAGTCCCCCCCCAGCTTCCTTGTAGGTCCGTCAGGTACTGGAAGGTGCTATAAAGTCTCCCCGGAGCCTTCTCTTCTCCAGGCTGAACAAGCCCAACTCTCTCATCCTGTCCCCACAGCAGAGGGGCTCCAGCCCTCTGAGCATCTCCGTGGCCTCCTCTGGACTCACTCCAACTGGTCTATATCCTTCTGATGTTGAGGGTAGTAGTAATGACTTTTAATCCTTTGAACTAAGACACTCTGATGTTACTTTGTTGGACAGATGTGAGACATTAATGCAATACAATAAATTTTTCTTTCTAGCCATCTAGTAGTGTTCTTTCCCAAAAAAAAAAAAATGGGGCTTAAAGCTAGTGACAGCTAGCTGCATATTATATGATGATGGCTGAAGTACCCATATGAGGGAAGGTGTAAAGAACAGATTTCTCAAGCATTTATATTTTCCAGAACATAGCAAACCTAATGAGATGGGAAAAGAAAATCTAGGTGTTCAGAAAGGCTTGTAGCAAACTCTTAAGTAATCCTAGAAAACAAGTACAAATGTGGATTTTTCTGTCTGTCTTGGGGAGCCTGAAAAAGAGTAGGAAAGGGAAGCAGGAAACTGATGTCTAATCCCAGCTCTGAGAGTGATTTACATAATTACATTTAATCAAATTGCTTCTTTTCTTTGATTATTCCTTCTGTAAAATGGTTTCTAGAGTATATATTCTTGTTCTGTGGGAGTCATTGAAGAATATGTAATTGTAATGCATTTGGAGCTGTATACAAATTTTAATTAGTATCTGAAGTATAATCCAGGCTTGAAACATTGCCTTTGAAATATGTACTTTTATTCCTATTTGCCAGCATTGATAAAATATAATATCTTTCAGGTGATATACAGCAAATACACGGATCTTGTGCCGAAAGAGGTTATGAATGTGGATGATCCTGAACTGCAGAGACCAGACGAGGAGGCAATTAGAGAGGTATTATATGCACTGATGTGCCTGGTTGTGTCTTGCACACATGATGAGATGCATTCTGTGGTGCTTCTGTCTTCAGATAACAGAGAAGACAAGGGCAGCCTTGGAGAAGTCGGTCTCGCAAAAAGTTGCAGCAGCCATGCCAGTTCGAGCAGCTGACAAACTAGCTCCTGCACAGTACATTCGGTATGTTGTGCTGGTGTGGGTGTAAGAGGTGGTTATATATAAAATTGATTCAAATTAGGATAATTCTTGAATTTCTGAGAACAGAAATCCTCTTGAATTCTGTTCTTTTGGAAGAAATATGAATCTGGCTTATGTATTTGGAATTAACCCACTAATGATAACCTACTTTGAAGTGTGTTGAAATGTGTCTTAGCATGTCACGAGTTGTGGCACACAGGGGAGGGGTTATTGTTTAGCCACAACGTGTAGGTTTGTCAGTGAGCACTGTGAGTGATGCTGCCCTGGAAACAGTCTTCACTGGGCATTTCAGCCCAAGGCAAGGCATGTAACAAGGCTCTTCCCTTATATAAAATGAGCAACTGGAAAGAATTGGAATTACTAGGAGGCTGCTACTCATTTATGGTGATTTTTCTGCTGCAGGCACAGAAAAATGCCATGGCAGGGTTAGACTTGGCCTGAAGTGAATTCTGAAAAAAAGTATGTGAAGAGGTTCTTAACAACCAATAAACAGTCACCGGGGATTCGCAGACCTCGGTGAAGAGTACTGTGATGTGCTCGGTGCACTCTTCTAGTTGGTTCCCTCTACTTTGAAATTTAGGTTGAAAGAGCAGAATATAACCCAGAGGAAGGCACACTGTGTCAGGTGGAGTTGATTCTCTGCATTCAGTCCAGTACCCTCTGCAGGTACCTGCTCCTGGCATTCACAGTGGGAAAGTCAAAAACTGATGTGGGTAAAATGAAAACACAGCTAGAGCAGTGAATGGAGAGTGAATGAAGTGGGAAAGGAAAATCTAGCCCTATGTGGAGAACTGAGCGCTGTGGTTGTTTTGTTCAGGTACACACCATCCCAGCAAGGCGTTGCCTTCAACTCTGGGGCAAAACAGAGAGTTATTCGGATGGTGGAAATGCAGAAGGACCCGATGGAGCCTCCAAGATTCAAGTAACTATTCAAAACTTCTTCGATGCAAGTAGGAGATTCTGTAGAGTATTTCCATATACATCATGCCAACTGTGTTTTATTTTCTTAATTGTTCAGAATTAACAAGAAGATTCCGCGTGGACCACCTTCTCCCCCAGCACCTGTAATGCACTCTCCTAGCAGAAAGGTATGAAATGCCGTAGCTGCCCTCAGTTTTGAATTCGAGATGGGCTCACAGATTCTACTTTGAGCTAGTTCACTTTTGTGCACCTTCTCTCTATTGTTCTGATGAAGTGATCAACTCGGTGCCTGTGCAGCCTTGTTATTAAGGATTAGCTTCCGAGTGATGGGTGTGGTGGTGGTTCATCAGTTTACTACAGCTCGAACTGCCAGGAAATGTGCAGATGTTAGCAAGCTGGCTGTAAGTTCCAGTTGTGTAATGAAAGTTTTAAGAGGGTGGCTGAAAGACTGTCAGGAGTTTATTCATTGTTGGCAAAGGCACAGTACGGAAATTAACATATTCTTGCTGCTAAGAAGACTTGAGTTTTTTATAGCAGCGTCCTGAGCTTAGTACACTGATTTATTTCAACAGTTTTACAGATGCCTTTGAGAAAGAAAACAGTATTTCCTTTTGGTATAAATCTAAGATGACTTTGCTTCCTCTTTTAAATCAGATGACCGTGAAGGAGCAGCAAGAGTGGAAAATTCCTCCATGCATTTCAAACTGGAAAAATGCAAAGGTAATTAAGTTGTCATGAATTCACCTTTTAATGTTTCACCCTGCTGGGAGACTTCTGTGAATCATGTAAGCTTGAATAATACCGGTTTTAAACCTCCGGAGTTAGATAAACTGGCTGCTTCCACCATGGAGAGCACGTGATTGTACTGCTCAGTGTTCTCTCTCTTCGGTGTAGCAGGGTTTTAGAATTGGCAGGAGTATAACACTGAGAGAGAATATGTTAATTCTTGGCGGAGATGATGCATTTTGAGAGGGGGAAAAATCCCCTTAATAGAGCAGTATGTGGAGTCTGAAACCAAAGTCTCTGGAGCCCACAGAGTAAAGCCACTTAAACTGAAGAAGGGAAGGGTAACTCATAGACAAACAAACTTGTTTCTTTTTGATACTCCAGTCTGAATTTCTGGAAGGTTCTTATTGCATTCATTCATTCGTTTCTGTCCCTGGTTAGCTTACATTTTTATTTCTTGTTTGGGTAGGTATATCCTGTCCCTCAGATTTTTAACAGACAGTAAGTTTGTGTTCAGAGAGAAGGGAGAATTTATAATTCACTGCAGTAAGTGGTCTCATGGTTCTCAAACTCTCCAAGCTGCTGTTGAGAGGCAGCCTCTTCAGATGGAGGAAGGAAAAGCTGCATGTTTGGATGGGTTTGTTTTTTTTTTTTCCTATCCCAACACAGCTGTATAACTGGGACTGACACTAATTAGTAGATCAAATTTTAGGTTACAGATGCTAAAACCAAAGCAAAAAATTTGTAGAGCTCTCAAAAAAAAAAAAAAATCTTAAAATATCATCTATAAATACTTCTGGGTTTCAGCTTTTGAAGGCAAAATTGGCATTTAGTGTCTCTTGCTTTTTCTGGCAGCCTACCCCCTTTGTCATTTAGAATCCTGTAACCTCTAAGCAGATATAAAAACAGTTTAGGGAAAAGAGTTTTTAGCCACAAAAGGTAAAACAACTTGGAGCCTGGGAAAGCTATGATGTGTAGCTCGTCACATAAAGCGGAGTGAATGTTATCGATGAAAAACTGTCATTCGTGCTAACTTGAATGGAAATTGGGATTCAGACTTGGGGGGAGTGTGGAGTTGGAGTGAAACTCGGTATTACCTGTGTGAATTTGACGTAGATATAAAGAAGGTGCATTCATGATAGGCTGTGAGTTTTGTGTGTGCTTGTTTTCTTACACAATGAATGTAATAGTGTTTGTTATTACAAATACGGTTCATTTCTGTGACTAACTGCCTGTTTCCACTACAGGGTTACACCATTCCGTTAGACAAGCGCCTGGCTGCAGACGGCAGAGGACTGCAGACTGTCCATATTAATGAAAACTTCGCCAAGCTTGCTGAGGCTCTCTATATAGCTGACAGAAAGGTCAGGTGGTGGTTTAAACTGGTTTGTTCCGCATGATTTTACCTTCTTTGTATGTTTGTTTCCTTTGGAAAATCAGCTGTGGATAGGCTATAGTTTTTTGATTTGTCCTGCTGCGTGGCTAATGTAAGACATAAGGTTTTAGCCCCAAGACCTTTGTATCAGTGGCTCAGCGTGGGTTAAATTACTGGAGGTCATGGGTGTTGTTTCTCAGCTCTAACCGCCGTGGCTGTCTGGCTTTGAGCCTTGATTCTTGCCCTGTTCACTGGATAACTCCACGGCAGAAGATGTGCTTGCATTCCGACCCGATGGAATACATCCGCGGG